TTGAAGCAGTGGAACAAGCCCACCCCAGAACTGCTTTATCAGCTATCCCCTTTTAAGAAGATTAAACTGTTATATTTCTCTGCTGCTGCTTTCATCTTCCCTCTGTGAGTGTCATCCAAGCCTCCAGGCAAGCATAGCTACTTATCCTCATCTGGAGACTTTAAGTCAGGAAAAATGAGGGTGAGAGAAAAGAAAAATTACAGACGTATTTGTCAATAAGCAGTGGGTATGTGTGAGAAGAGTATGGTTAAAAAATGGAAGCCATGGCCAGGGCTGGATGCCTCAGGCCCCAGGTAAGTGATTTTCTAATATGCAGCATAAACTCAGAGCTAGGACACTGCTTGAAAACTTTCATTGTGAACTGACACATTGGTAGCCACTTCCACAAAGATCCAGATCATAACTGTAATTAGCACCTTCTGTTGTTGTGTCTCTAGATGGGACACTAAGGCCCGAATTTTCTGTTAATTCACACCAATTATTCCATCCAGTTCATGGTTAAAGCGTAATGAAATGGTGAGCAAAGATGTCTGTCTTGGGCAGAACAAAATATGAAAAATAAGGGATATTTCAAAGAGACATTTTAGACAAATACTTTCCTTTAGAATCTTCTCTACATAATGCATTTCTACTTTCAACTGTATGAATAATTTGCCATAAGGTTCAATTTGTTGTCAAAAATAGCACTTACCTGCTTTCATACATTTTAATGCATTTTCATGATGTATGAAATTCATGCATCACCTTGTATGTAAAAGCTAAGCTTCAAGTTAATATTTGGGAGGTCTCAGGAATCCTATAAAGGAGTAGCATCCTTTGACGATTGCAAAAATGCAAATTGTTTTTGTTTTAAATCAAAGACAAAGGTATGGACATCAAATCAAAGGTGGTATGAGGAAATGAGACAACTTTTATAGAAAGAGAACAATAATTGCAAAGACTTGGGTGCTGCTGGTAATTCTGTAAACTCTGACATTTCTTTTGTTCCCTTCAACAAAACTATTGAGTTCTCAGGAACTCAAAACAGAGGTGAATGGAGACAACTGTGTAGTTTGGTTTTTAAGAGAGCATTTCAGAGTCTGTGTTCCCTAAACTGTGCAGTCCTGCCCAGAGCCCATTTCACTTCCACGTGCTGCCACTCAAGCTGTGGAGCTCTTCTTTTGCAGCTTCAGAACATGATCACGGCAGCAAAGCACAGTAAAACCCTCCAAGCCTGAAATCCTCTCCATGCTGCTGAGTCTGCATGACAATTGCCAGGAACTCTGGAATTCCACGACGTTCCACTTCCTTCCCAGGTTAACTACTTTGCTGACCTGTTTCCAAGCCCTTCCCAGCACACTGAATATTTTCAAATAAAAGGAACTTGTTGCACTACATGGCAAGCACTTCCTATTTACAAAGGCAGAAACAAAATTTCTGCAGCCTTTCTTTCTTGCAGGCCATTTCTGTACCTTGGTTACAAGTGCAAAATCAGCTGGGCAATTAGTTTTAACAGGCAGAGTCTCAGGTGTGAAGTCAGGTTCATGATTCCTATTTCAGATGTACAGGACTGTTGAATTTTAGGACAACAACTTTTTGGTGACAATGTTGTAGGAAAATGAGGAACAAAGCAAGAAAAGAGGCTTGGAAAAGGGCCTGTTACTAAAATAATTGTTTCTAAGAGCACACATTTGCCACATGTTTGGAGAGTAACCCAAATCCAGAACTGTATGGAACTCACCCATCTGCCACAGATCTTCCTTTAACTTCTACTTGTATACATAATCTCTTATTATTGATGTTTTTTTCTGAGAAAGAATTTATCTTTTTTTTTAAGATATGTGGAGTTTTTTTGGCTTTGTACCTGTGTTTCGGCAAAGATCTTCAAAATGGCAATCTACCAATAGGAAATCAATTGACAGAGGAATTATAGTGACTGTGTAGCAGATAAATTTAAAATCTTCATTTGTTTTCTTGATTGTATTGTGGCCATTCAGACTTGCAGAAATTTCAACTCAGGGATCTTTGCAGAGATCTAACTGATTTCAGCAAACAAAAAAAGGCAAAAAGCTCTCCAATACTTTCCTAATAACTTTTTTTTTAAACTGAGCAACCACCCATGCATTTCTTACATGTGTAACTAACTAGTTCACTTGTGAAGGAAAGATTTCTGAAGCCATGTGGAATAGTGCCCTATAGTGACTTTACTACTGTAGCAGTAAACCTGACTTCAGAAATGATATTCCTCACTTTTTCTAAACCTTGCTTCCATTCTGCCTTTTGATCCTTTGTTTAAATCATTGCTTCTGAAAAGCTGGAAGGCATTTTGCAACATCCTCTGTTATTTGCCAAGGCTAGGTTATGCCTACCATGCAAAGTGTCTAAAATGTTCTGCCATTTCCACTAAGCCTTAGAAACATCTGCTTTGATATTAGTTTTTAATCTTCAAGTGGCACAAAGTTCCTAAAGGGTTTGCTCATTTATTAATGCCCACTGTGATGTAGGAGTTACTGGTGCCTAAGGCAGGCAAATGCAATGCACTACTAATTATTACTAATTATTTTTCTTATATTGCATCATGAACATATATTAATTTGCCGGAGCAACTTATGCCTGTCTTCATTAATAACTTAAATGTGAACAACTCTATATAAAGTAACTTCAAAAAGAAAACACATCAAATTGTTTTCCCTTGACCTTTTCCAATCTAGCAATTAACCACATATTGCACTTATTAACATGCACAGAAAGCTTTACATTCTACATGTGTTTTAGCTAGAACAGGGGATACAGGCAAACAATGCATTCTTGTAATTTTAACAATAGTCTTTTTCAACACAATCCATGGTCTGTGATGGACCTCAAACTTTCCCTTAATCTTTGATTTCTCTTCAGATGACAGCGTGGTGGCTGTGTGTCCATGTACAGGTGACCTCTGCAGCAGGGAGGGCAGCTTGTCAGACATCTGTAATTGCTGACCTGTTTGTTCTCTGTGTTGTTCTCATAAAGCAACCTGGGGCTACAATAACCACCTTCTGAACTGACAGAATGAGAACATAAAAGTTTTGAAAACAATCTTAACTCTGTGCTACTGCACATTCACCTGATGATTAAGACATACATAATCAGATAATGCTACTAGCAGAATATCTTGAGTTGGATAATATTATGAAGTTTTGTTTGATGGGAAAATGTAAAATTAGTGGGGTATACTGAAATGACTGGATGTTTTTCATTTAAAGGCATTACAAAGGCATTACTGACCATAAATATTTTGTTTTGGTAAGTGATTATAATCATATCTTCTTAGTATATGAAGATTTTTATCCCTGCCTTGTAAAATTATTGACAACAGAATTTGCATCCTAAAGCAAGAAATCCACAAAAATGGAAAAATGATGGGGCCTTTTGCTGTGGAAGATTAGAGAAGACAATGGTGAGATTAAGGTCAAAGAGGACAGAGCATCATTTATAGGGAAATTTGTTATTCCTTCAAAGAGGTCCTTAACTGGGCTGTTCATAAACATTTCTTGAGTTCCTGGAGGTTGTTACTTGTAGGAACACCTAACCTATACACCTGGGATTTCTTCTCTCCAAATTTCCTTACAACAGTTGATTTTGAGGAGAAATTTGTGGGTTTATAATAAAACCCACACTTCAGTGACCACTGAAATTATTTCTGAACTTCTCTGTATACAATTCCCCATTTTTTAATAATAATTTTACTAAATCTGTCATTATGTTTGATGAGCATTTTTTAACAATTTTTCCTTGACACATGCATTTTCATCCTTTATTTTTGTACTTTCAAAAGGCTGAATCACCTCTGGCAAATGTGAATATAACAGATATCAAAATTGTGTCCCATTGAACTGGGGTTTACAGGATTTTTTAAAGAAACATCTCATGCAGTTATTACTAGAACACAAAATACCAGTACTTTATAACAAAAAATCTGGGGCTGAACAAGCTCTAGAAATTAATTTATGCCATATATTAGTATGCCTGGTATCATACAGTGTGGTGTCATGATATGTGTGTGATACCATGCATCATGGTTATATGGATAGGACAGCATGTTAACAATATCAGGATCTCATAATAGAGAACCAGTCTCATCTGTCAGTTCAGGAACACTAAATGACTCCAAGGCCCTCTTAGGTCAGGAATAATCTAAAGCAATCTGCTGAGTTTGCAGGGAATTTGCAAGTGACATGCAATTCAATGGAACCCAAACAAAGTCTATGGCATTGATGTTAAAGCTAAGGCCAACACTCCAACACTTTCAAAAGCAAAAATCAGTTTCTGAAGTTCAATTTTGGGTGTCTGATACTGAAAGGGTCTTGTTTTAATCAGAAGCTTCAAACGCCCCAAACTCAAAACGTTCCAAATTGTGCATTTAAAACTACGGGGCTTTTTTCTACATGCTCCAACCTGCAGAAGCAGATGTTGCTCTTTAAGGAGTTTCACAGGAGACCAAAAGATGAGTCTTTCCTGATTCAACTCCAGTTAAATTGAAAAACTGTTATTTCACCACTGTATCCTCACCAGTAATGGAGGCTTTTGTTCCTCTTCAGGATTCTTTGTCTCCTGACCAGGTGTCTGTCTGGGTCTGGCAGGAGATGGAGGTGATGTGAATCCTTTTTGACTTTTCAGTGGGCTGGGTATACCTCAATCTTCCCAGGACAGGCCCTAGACCTCTAATGACAGTGGCTGGAATTAGTGTTTATCAGCAAAAGAAAATAAGAGATTAGGCTGCAGGACAGGATTCTGAAGGGTACTTTTCCTGCTCTCTTGGACCAGAAGGATGGACAACAGTGAATCATATGCCCAGGACATCACGTTTTTAAAGAACAAACCATGGTACAAAGGGTAGAGGCTTTCCTTATGTGCAATAAGGGAGAGGGAAGCTGGAGGTGGGTGCAATTTTACAGGAGCATGGATTGTCCCCAACAGCTCTGCTTGGCACCTCTCCCCCAGGAGATGAGTATGTCAGTGTGTGGAGAGCAGCAGGTGCAATGCTAGAAATCCTGTCTGGTACCTGTCCCCATGAGTGGTGTGAGCAAACAGGTACTAAGCAAAACCTCTGTGTTTGGGCACTCTGTCTGGTCCTTATTTAACCATGAAAGCTTGGTCTCGTTCATCTGTTCTGGAGCTCTCTCTGTTCTCCCAGAAAGGGATAGGACTAAGCAGGAGCCTGGTGTCATGACAGCTGGCCAGGCTGCTGCGGGGCTGATGGCCAGGCTGCCGTGGGGCGATGGTGAGGCTGGCCCGGGGGGATATCCTGGGCAGCTTAGAGGGTGATGGCTGAGCCGCTGTGGGGCTGCCACTGCTGCCGTGAGGATGGTGGTGGGGATGCTGCCTCGGCTGCCGTGGGGCTGCCGGCTGCAGCCATGGGATGGTGTCAGGGATGCTGCGGAGGTGGCGGGGGATGCTGCCCGGGCTGTGGTGGGGCTGACGGTGAAGCCGGTGCTGTGCTGACAGCCGAGCTCGGCCGTTCTGGGGCGAAGCCTGCGCCGCTGTGGCGGTGACAGCGAGGGGAGCACGGAGGAGCCGAGAGAGCGCACTTGAGGCCGGAGTTGCCGGGGGGCCGGGCGGGGACACGGAGCGGTCCCTCCGCCGCCACCTGCCCCGCGCCCCCCGGCCCCGCCCCGGCCCCACGGGGGTGTCGCTACCGGGGGCGCGGGGCGGAGGAGGAGGAGGAGGAGGGGGCGGGAGGAGGAAAGCGGCAACAGCAGCTCTCGGGAGGAGCCTGTCCACCGTGAGACAGCATATTCAGCCGGCGGCGGCGGTCCTGCCGCAGCGGCGGGCGGCACGGCTCGGCTCGATTCGGCTCGGCTCGGCGCAGCTACTGGCAGCAGCCCTTCGCTCAGCAGAGCATCCCTCTGCTCCCCCGGCGGCGAGGGTCGGTGAGCGCTGCAAGGCTCCGGGAGCCGCTCCGCATCTCCCGGGCGCCGGCGGAGGTGAGGCACCCGCGGGGCGGCCGGGCCGGGGCGCGGCGGGGCCGTACCGGAGGGGCGAGTGGGGGCTGCCCTTGGCGCCGGCGCTGGCGGCGGAGGAGCGGGGCGGGATGCGCAGCGGCCGCGGAGCCTGGTGCGGCCGCCGGAGGCATTCCCTGGGCAGGCGGCCCGGCTGGGCGAACGAGCGTCCCCGGCTGGGCGAGCGGGCATCCCCGGCTGGGGGAGCGGGCATCCCCGGCTGGGCGAGCGAGCATCCCCGGCTGGGCGAGCGGGCATCCCCGGCTGCCCGCGGGTGGGCTCTGGCGGCCCGCGGCTCGTCTGCGGGAGCGCTGCGCTGAGCGAGCCTCGCCGGCCTCGGCACCTGCTCCGGTCCCTGGGGCGCCTCCCGGCCCCGGCCGAGCTCCCGACTGGTGCCTGAGCGCCAGCAGCTTAAAGCAAAAGGTAGTGGTGAAAGTTTTTCATCTCTAATTCTTCGCACATCGTGAGCGGTAGTGGGTTTACTCAAGTCCAGGACGACAGTAAATAGGTTATTTCCCCCTTCTTAAGATAATTCCCTAAAAGTGTGAGAGAAGGAGGCAGCCAGCCAGAGCCCTTTTTTCACTGGTAGTCCAGTGAAATAGATTTTCAGAAGGATGTTATTACAGTTACATCATCCCCGGAATCCCCCACGGTCAGCAGAGAACATAAGGCCCCAGATTTCCTAGACAAAGCCCCCGTTTTTTGGACTGGAACGAAGTTTGTTTTTCTGTCAATATTGCCATTGACAGAAAGTACAGATTTGAGCTACAAATGCCTATAACATAAGGGTTCTTGGCAGATCAAGCGATCTAGCCTGCTAATATAGAGGGCATGAGATGGAAGGACCTGACATGAAGTTGGCATATGACTTTGGCACTTGCACCTGGAAATTTATCCTGACATACAGGGTTTTGTCAGCGCTTCACTTCTGCAGGAGGACTTTAAATTACATTGGAAATTGCACTAAATATCGTGAAGCGTGGGACTGCAAAACCTGTTTCAGAATGGAAATCCCAGGTCCCAGGACTACTTGTCTTCTGATAGATGGTGTTATCAAAACAATAGGGGAATTTAATTTCTGTTACTACCAATGTGCTTTGCTGAGGTGCCTCATTTGTTCTTGCTAAGTACCTTGGGGCCACATCCAGGTCTTCTCCCCAGGGGAGTGCTCACTGCGACACCCATCCTCTGCTTTGTTTTCTTTTCCCAAAATCATCCATCTATAGTCCATAAAAATACAAAATGTGTTGTCCCTTCTGTACCTTCTCTGTGAACAGACTTTTGAAGATTGGGACTTACCATCATCTTCCTTTATAAGTGAGACTTCTGAGGGACAGGTATATGGAGATCCAAAAGATGGTTTAGAGTTGGATTGGCTAGATTTCTCCCAGATCTAAGTACCTCTGCCTCAAATTAGTCTACCATAAAAATGCACAAACTGTAGTGCTGCTTTATCCACAGTTTTGAAGAGAAATCTTTAAAGGAGCAGCAATAAACCACACCTTACACATGCAGTAATTACTGGAAGTTTGGAAATCTTGCTACTCAAAGAATAGTCAGAGAAATAATATTTTGTACCCTGCAGATCTTAAATTAAGAAGCTGACCTTCCAGCTCTTTGTATAGAAGGAAGGGAAGTGATCTGCCCTCCTTTGTGATGCCTTTCAGTGGCTAGTTTTTTCATTATTGAAATGTGTTTGTTTTCCAGTGTATTTTTCCAACTTCAGGTTTCTGGTTCCTGTTATGCCTCTCGTAGATAAAAGCCTTGCTTTAGCAGCTGTCTTCAGTGTAGGTACTCTAAATGATGCAACAATAACTTACCTGCCTTATTTTCAAATAAATTAACAGATTCAGTCCCTTGGTCTTCTTTCCTTTTGTAAGACAGGTTTCAAGAAGCATTCCTTGCTGCCCTCTGTTTTCCAACCTGCAAGAAGAGAGAGGGGGAATCTACTAGATAGAGCTGGTTGCTCTATCTGATGGGCTGTATTAGAGGCACCACCATTGCAGGATATTGGACAATGATGTGAAATGGGCTGGAAGGGAAAAAGATAAGGGATTAAAATAGAAAAAAAACATAAGGGTATAGAAAGGCAGTATTGTTTTTGAAAGCTCCATTTACTCCTGCTAGTGAATCAGTTAACCATTTGGTATCTTTCAGCTCCTCAAACTTTACTTCTCATAGATATTTTAAACATATTTATGGTCACTCTCTAGGACTACTCAGGCTTGTTAAACTGGGCTATGCCTCGAGTGCCCTATTGAGCTCCTTTGGCTTGGTTTGTCCAGCAGCAGAAGTAGTAATTAGGAATGTTTCAGTGTTACCAAGCAGCTAGTGCCTACATGGGTTGCTGCTTGGTGGTGGTGATGGGATGGTAACAGAATGATCCTCCTTGTCCTTTCCATGAGTTTCAATTTTCGGAGAAGCTGAAGGGAAGTAACACTGAAATCCTCACTGAGGTGCACAGGGTAATTCATATCTGCAGAGATACAGTCTCAGGCTTTCTGCCACAGTGAGATATAATGACCTCTCAGTGCAATACTCATCTGATACTTACAGATTTTTATTTTAAAAACCTTAAATGAAACAAACCATAATGACTCTAGATGTAATCTGTGTTTAAAAGTGATATTTTCCAGCCAAAATACTGATGGAATATGATGGCAAAATGCCCTTAGTACAGATGCAACCTGTATTAGTAAAACTGTGCTTTTGCCGGTGCAGCTTTATTTCTGTTCATCAGAAAAACAGAAGTCCTGCAGGTGAGTACACATTTATGTGTCCATATGGGGGCTTGCTTTTCAGATGAGGACTCGAATGGTCTCCCCTTGGCTGTCTGTAAGCAGGCAGAAATGGTAATGCAGGAATGATAGTGCTTAACAAAGAGACCCTGACTCTGTCTAAATCTCAGATCGATGCAATATGTCCATTTGCTACTTGGTAATAATCCATCTAAAAGTGTGCTAGCTCTTTTTAGTTAGAGATTACATTGGGAGCTGTTGTTCACTTGGCCATCTGCAAGCCTCAAAATAAGACAGAATACATGAGCTTGCTCCCCCAGTACTGTTCATTTTAGTTGGCATCATCTTGCCAACTTTTCTGGGAAAATGGCTACTTCCAGGCAGATGGCAGGAGCTGCAGGAAGCTGTGAAGCAGACTAATGTGTGAGCCACTAGATCTTACAGATACAAGACACCTCTGATTATCTGTGACAGGTGATGCACCAACTCTTACTGAGCTTAAAACTATACCCCTTCTTTTTTTACTGTGCTTCTTCAGCACTTTTTGTTTTACCTTTTGAAGCAGAAGTATTCTGATTAATATCTGAGAGTGCAGTGCAGCATGAAGAAGACATGGGACAGGAGTGACAGTTTCTTGAAGCCTTTTGTGAGCAGCACACTGTAACTCCATGCTCACGTTTAAGGACAGAGGTCTCAGCTCTGTCACTGCTGCAGTAATGGGAGTTTCTCTCTGACATCTCTGGTGGTGAACCGAGCCTATAGAGTGATGGCAGAAGTCAGCTGCCCTCATTGTTGGAAAGCCATGATACCTCTCCAAACGCTATTGGAAGAAATGAGATTTTTGCGTTGACTTAACAGAGTTTGTATGAGTCCCTGTCTAACTGCTGCATTGACCTGTGTGCAAATATTTGTGTTACCTGATGAATAATAGCTGCTTAGATGTCTCCTGTGATTCTTGGCTCATAATCTTAGAGTAAAAGTACATGTTTTCTATTTAACACTGCTCCCATGCATGTGAATCAGCTGATCTGGAGAGACGAGTTACATCAACCTGAGGAGCAGACCTCCCTGGAGCACTTCTGGAGCAGTGCAGTTCTACCCTGTGTGCTCCCCAGGTTGTTCCCCAGGTGCTGGTTGACAGTCCCGGCTTGTTCCTAGAGTAATTAATCAATAATTTGATTAAAGGAGAGGTCTCATTTATTGCAACTCATCAGAAAACAGTTACAGAAGGAATCTTTTAAGGATCTAACTTTTTTTTTACAGTGTTATATTTTCTTCACATTTCCTTTCCCTCTTGCTATCATTCTTTGCAGCTTACCATTTTCTCTTTTCCTCAATACTTGCCTTAACATCACATTCCCTCCTTGCTGGCCTTCCCTTCCCTCCCCTAGCAGAGAAATTATATTAGTTCCTTGTTCTTTTCTCTCTCCATCTGTGATGTGGTACAAATAATTCCAAATCCTGCTCCTCAGTTATTAATTTTTCACTTCAGCCCAGCAGAAAGATGCAGTGTGTTTTGTGTTCAAACAATAGGGAGTTATAGTAAGGCCAAGACACAAAACTGCAAGTATGATTAAATATAAATAAGTATAATAGAGGATATATTTCTTATCTATTTATATCACTTTATATCAAGCCTTCCTTGATTCTAATATGTTCAGGCTGAATTTCACAGAAAAAACTATGCTATATTATACTGAAACTATGCTGTGTTAGTCTTGAAAGTTAATTACTGTAGGTCTTAGACCACATGCTGGGAAAATATGGATTTCTCTTGCCCTAAACTATTCACCCCTTCCGTTTTGTATCCATTAAAAAAGATCTTAGCTTTTAAAGGGTATAGACAGCAGCATTAAATCCTTACTATTCAAGGCATGCCCTTGTTTCATGTTTTGCACATTAGGCCTCCACTGTTAGGATCAGAGTGGTTACCAGGTCACTTGGTAATTGGGGCAAAGACATTTCAAATGATTGCTATTATATATTTCCAGAAATTAAAATATGTAATAAAGCAGGGTTACAGGGAAAAAAAAAACAAACAAAACAACCAACTAACCCAGACTGTTTCTAATGTTTTCTTATATTTGAACCTGTCTGTTCTGGTTTAAAGACTGTTCCGCTGACACTGAGTTTTTAAGAGAATTTATTCTCAGATTCTCACAGCACAAAGTTGGGGGACTATCTAAACTCATGTGACTTATTTCATAATACATGTTTATCTTCTCTTAAAGTAATAGAAAAGATTTGCCGTTTTCATTAATCTCACTATTCAAAGTCGTATGACATTGTTGTTTCTTTCATCAGTTTGTTTCTAGTTACATTTTGAGCAATAGCTGAACCAGAGGGTGGTTTGTATCATAATTTTGATTTATTTCAGATTTTAGCTTGCCCCTAAATGAATTAATTCTTTGTCCTTTTTAGCTGAGACTGCTCATAGAGCTTTGTTACACGCTTATAGCAGTTTGTAACAGACTATCAACTTCTGCCAGTCTTCATTGCCTAGGAAAACAAATTACTTCTGCAAAAACCAGAGAAAAGATAGTTCAGGTTATATGTGCTTGTGACTGTAAATTGTGTGGTGCATTAAACAATGAATGGTTTACAAATCTATAACCTTTTGGAATGAAACAAGAAATTTGACCTAAATCATACCCCCTAGTGTGCAGTTAGCTATTCATGTACATAATCTGCTGCACTTGGCAAAGCCTGTGAATGTTGTATCCTTGCCTTTCACTATCTCCACAGTAGTAATAATAATACAAGAAAAATTGTGCTGATGGGATAGGAGGGTATTGTACTGGAGTCAAAACAAAAAAAAACAGTGATGCCATTCTCTCTTTGTACTGAAAGAGCCCGTGGGAAAACTGTCCCTTTATTTCCCACAATATTTTCTTTTTCACAGCCAGCTGAATAGCAAGAAAATGCAGGAAAGCCTAGTTTCTCAGCCTCTAAAGGCCTCTGACAATATTTTAAAAATACCTTGTGCAAATTCAGTACTTTGTCTGATAATTATAAATTAAAGAGCCTTAGGATTTTCCCATATGTTTAAAGCATAGAACTCAAAAGATGACAGTAAATTATATTCTTTGTTGGGGGCTAAGATGGAAAAAACCCCATGTTTCAGCCTTGCTACTGGTGCTGTCCACACTTTTAACAGCAGCCTTTCTTTGCATGACCCTTACTGGGTTTTATTGTTTACTTATCATTGACTCTGGGGACAGGGAAGTAAAAGACTCTAGACTTCTATATTGACAAACATGTGAGTCTTTTTAAACAAAATTATAATAAAATGCAGCAGTAATATGAGTTAATACTAGTGTTGATTTTGAAGTTATTAAATGGAGATCATGCCTCCTCAGTGTTCATTCAGTAAAGTTTAATTAAGTTTGATTTTTCCCCAGAAAGTTTGTAGTTTCTGATTTCACTAAACCAAGTGATGAATTAGGAGTAAGTATGATTAAAGTTGGTTGCCTCCCTTTTTTATGTTATTTTCCTTGAGGGACAGTGTATGTCTATATATGTATATATATATATTATTTTTTTTGGTACGTGTTTAACTTCTGTGCT